TGCAACATGTCTCTGGCTCATTTTACAGGCAAAGGCCAGAGAGTTAAGATGACTTGCTTGAAGTCACAGAACAAGATATGGAATCAACCATACCTGGGATTTCTAACTTCAAGTTCTATGCTTTCTTTATTTGTGTTTCATTCCTGGCAATCTCAGATTTGCTCAGAGTGAAACAGAATCCTCTTCATGGTAGGAGCATAGAGAGAGAGAAACCTCCTTCTGTTGTACATGGTGTTACTTCTACTCCCTCTTGTAGGAGAGAGTGTGCCAGTGTGGCCATAGAATGCTCTCCCACTGGCTAACATAGAAGATTAATGCTAATCTTCTATCAAGTTTCCCAAATTTAAATTTATTTAAAATTATCCCAGAGAAAGAGAAAAGAGGGAAAAGGAATGAATAGTTATTCAGTGTGGAATGATCACATACTGGGTTATAAGGTAAGACCTAGAGTGATATAAAAATGTACCCACATATTTCTTTATTCTCTCTAGTGAGTAAAACCGTTTAGCTTCTGAGATCCTTCAATCTAATTATCTTTGATATCAGGCTGCATAGAGACGCACAAGAGTTTTTAGGCTGTCACTGTGGCCCCCTCAATGTAAGCAAAGGATTGCAAAGGCAAGATGGCAGACACAGGGTGACTTTCGGTCATTAAGCAGCAGTGTCACTAAGCTCTCATACCCAAAAGATGGGTAAGCCAGCAGAAGACTGACAACCTAACGCAAGATGACAAGTTTTTAATTTTCCCCTAAGCATAAAGTCTATTATCACCTCTAACCTTATTGTGTCCCCTGATCTGAATAAGCTCTTTGGTGGAAAAAAAAAATCAATGTACAACTAAGTGGTTTCTCCCGAGGCTAATGCTGGGCATTCACATTCTCATAGATGGAACATTCTGAGCACAGCTCTGTGTGGTTTACATAAGATGACACGGGGACATTCTAAAATTTTCCCCAAAAAATATATTTTGGGGAAAAAGATCTAAAATGTTAAATGAAGCATATATGCTTTCTGAATATTTATTTTAGTGTAATGTTGATTCTATTTTTAAAAGGAGAGCTATAGGTGTACTATCAAAATAAATATAGTATTCAAGGAATATTTAAACAAATTCAGAAAAGATGTTTTCAAAAGTTATATTGGAGATCCTTCACAGTGGCGTGAGTAACTCTTATCAAAGAAAACCTTATGCATTTAAACTTATTTAAAATTCCTCTTTCCTAGTCCCTGCCACCTAATTCCTGTATCATACTGTTATACTGTTGAGATGTTTCCTATTCCATTTATAGTAACAAAGCCAGGAAGAAATTTAAATTATAATATGTGTCATGGGACTTCATATTAGATAGCTAACTTTTTTTTTCTGAAATAAAGAACATATTTATCTATTTGAACATTTTTGTTGTTGTCATTAAATACTGAGAGTTCTTTTTGTCAAACAATGGGCCAGCAGTAGCTGCAATATTCAAGATACCTCATATAAAACTTTTAAAATACCCCATATTGCATTCTAAAGTATTTAGAATCACTCCTAAGAAATCCAGAATCAAATCCTTAAAATATTCTCACACAACCACTTTTAATAAACAATATTTAAAAATTAGTCATGGCATCTACAAGTTGTCATTCCTGAATTATGAAACTATTAGATAGAACAAAGTCACTAAATCAAATTCCCTCTTAAGAACACTGATACGGTGCTCACTTTGGCAGCACACATACTAAAATATGAATAATGCAAAGGTTAGCATGTTGGATTCGCAAGGATGACATGCAAATTCGTTGTGTCCCACGTTTTCATATAAATGGCTCATCACGGGGTTTTATACCTGGAACTAATACAACATTGTACATCAACTGCAATTTAAAAAATATTCAAAAGAAAACAGTGATATGAAACAAATTCTACTCTCAGAAAACATTTTCAACCCTAAACAAAATTTTAAAAGCAATCAGAATTTGAGGAATTTTCATTTGGGGTATTCTTGCCTTGCTCTCTACTTAAAGAAAATGTCTTTGTTAGAAGAACCTGGGAAAGCAACCAGGGCCCATCTAACTATCTCTTCAAGGTATACCATTTAAGTTGCTATCTCTGTCTCCATATAAAGGATTAGGGAAACAATATTCATTTTAATGAATTTATTAAATGGCAATTACATTGCATAAATATGTACTAAGCACTATGAAGAAAAGTAATGATGCCCACATGTATCTTATGGTTTATTCAAGAAGACATGACACACATATTAATTACAGCACAGAACCATATATGATAACCACCAATAGTACATAAAGTGTCAAAATAGTTTGAAAGTCATAGGTAACAGTTCTATCTGGAAATATCAGAGAACCTTTATATGAAAGTTATATAAACTAACTGGGAAAATGTGGGAGGTACAGTACTTCACATGGGAAAACTTTCAAAAAGGTGTGCAACTGGAAAACATAGAGTATCTGTAAAACAAGAGTCATGAGGCTGAAGTTCAAGATATTTAAAGGAGAGTAATGAAGGAAAGGCCTATTTAATTTTGGAAGAGACAATGAAGTTTGCACTTCCTTAATTTGTATTGAATTGCTATCTCTTCCCTGCACTGTGTGTGTGTGTGTGTGTGTGTGTGTGTGTGTGTATTTAATATCAAAATAGTGCCACAGCCCTAACTGGATTGGCTTGGTGGGTAGAGCGTTGGCCCAAGGACTGAAGGGTCTCAGGTTCGATTCTAGTCAGTTGCAGGTGAGATCCCTGGCACAGGTTGGGGTGCATGCAGGAGGCAACCAATCACCAATCAATGTGTGTCTCTCACATTGAAGTTCTCTCCTCCTCCCTTTCACTCTCTAAAAACCCATGGAAAATATCCTTAGGTGAAGATTAACAACAAACAACAAGGAAAGATAGTGCCACAACAGAATGGTGGTTAGAATAATCGGAGGGTAAATACAGAGAGCTCAGGGTTAAGGAAAGAAGTTCTTAATAGAAAATAAAAGAAGCCAGTATGTGCCAGGCACTGATAGTATTTCACTTAATCCTAATGACTCAGTTATAAAACATTTTATAGATAAGAAAACTGGGGCAATTCAACAAGAGTTGGCAGCCCAGAAATAAAACGATGGAAATTACACAGATTTAGGGACTGGGGAGGCAAACCTTCTTGGAAGGTAAGAAAAGATAGGAAAATCTACAGCCCCTGTAAACACAAAGGTAGTGAAAATGACTATTGCAGAATCCAAGTTTAATATGAAGAAAAATGCAGCAACCTGAAAAGCAGTCATATATTAGGCTTAATAAGGAGGATAAAGAACAAATGACTAAGAAAGAGAAGTGGATAAGCTAGATGTCAAAAAGGTTGTGCTCAAAGAGGGACCCTAAGATCTCAGTAATGGGACCATGACAAGATACCACCATCTTGGGGAAGAGGGGTTAGACTATGGGTGTAGATACCCAGAGTTAGGCAACAGAAGAAAAATTAGCTTAGGAAAAGTCTACAATAATTATAATGGTAGACAGGAGAGAAAGGAAAACCATGATTCGAATACTAAAGTCATTGAAGTTTAAAAAGAAATCCAAAGAATGCAGAAGACTGGCAAAATTAAACATCTGAGCAGTGCATCCAGGAAGAAAAGTTGGAGTGCTGATAAAGAAACTATCGTTATCTGTCATCGTCAGTGAAGAACCCAGTAAAATGCTGACTTTTTAAAACTGACTTTAAATTCAGAAAAAGAAGAGAAAAAGGGGGAGGGGGGAGGAATGGCCTTTATTACCCCCAGCCACATCCGACTCTTTCTCACCCAGAAGAAGCACAACCTGCAGGTGATTACCTGCATCTGAGGTAGAAGTCACAGGTTTTTCAACCTCCTAAATATGGTTCCATGTGTGATCTCCCAAACTGTTTTTAATACAAAATAATTGGCAAAATGCAACTTACTTACATTTAATGAGAATTCAATACTCAACAGAGTATTGATCGCCAATGCTAAACTTTTCTATTTTCATGTACTTTCCATAATTTGTAAGGTTATGCACAGCCTTGATGGTAAATTTTAAGATTAAGGTTCTATTGAAGAGTTTCTTCTAGATAAAACCACATTGTAAGAATACAATACCCAATCTGTTACTTATTCTTTTGGTCTACACACACACACACCTGCAGGTTGTGCTTCTTCTGGGTGAGAAAGAGTCGGATGTGGCTGGGGGTAATGAAGGCCATTCCTCCCCGCTCTTTTTCTCTCTCAAGTGAAACTGCTTAAATTTCTAAATCAGGATTCCTGATAACAAATGGGTGGTTAAAGGTGAAAGGTGGAACAAGACCAAGCATTCAACTCATGTAACTTTCCACTTGAAAATGAAATGGAAAATTACACTTGGTTTCATTCCATTTTTCCAACTATTATATAGGTATTAAAAATGTCAGTTTCCTAAATCACATCTTCACTTCTTGCTGGGTAATAGTTTAGTTTTACATGTCTAGTAAACTTATCCACAGTTTTAAGGAAATTAATTAGCCATTCAGCGGTGTAAAAAATCCTGCTTGTTTCACAGATAGATTTAATGTTTTGATAAATAGGAGATCATTACATTTTAAGACTAGTTCGTAATTTCTGAAAAATCAAATTCAGGGAAGTAGTTTAAAAGAAAAAAAACATAATTTGGAGAGGAAGAGAAAGGGTTTTCTTATGGGTCACTGGCTTGCTTGCTTTTCTAAGTCTTAGAAAATCAATACAACTGAACACTGTTACTCTGGGAGTGGTTATTTTTTTTAAAATATACTAAATGACATACAACTATAAAATAGTTCTAAATGTTAAGAGTCAGTTGACTGGGACAGTGGAATTCATAGTACTGATATTAAACCATTGCTAGAAAAAAAGGTAATACTTTTAAGATTTTTTTAAATCAAACCGAGTGATGAAGTATTTTGTCAAAGAAAACAAATCAAGAAATGTACAGGAGAAGGTTTAAATGACAGCAGGAAGGAAGTCCTGGTGTTTCATTAGCTCTAGCATACCTGCCATGAACAGTTGTAGATTTGATAATGTCCCCAGGTAGAACCACTGTGAGTTCAATGTCTTTATCTATCATGCTTTCTTTCTGCTCCATGACGAAAGCAGGGGATTCTACAGCATCATCACCTGGAGAGGCGCCAGGGCTTTTGGTCTCCGCTGGAGGAAGGGGTGCCTTGGCTTTTGGTTTTCTCCTAAAATAAAAACAATGGCAGCAAATGAAATATATGTGTTTTCAAAGTAAATTTCTAATGCGCTCTAATTTAATAAAAAACACAATATGTATATATGTTTTTCACATCTAGAAAATAATGTGCCAAAATGTTAACTGTTAGTTTATAAGAATAATGAAAATAAGGATTTTTCTTTTGTCTTTTTTGTCAGCACTTTTTTTGTTTGTTCTCAACAATATGCCTATATTACTTGATAATAAAAAGAAACAAATGAATAATGAAGAGATTGATATGCCTCCATTAATTCAATTAATGTGTGCTTACTATAGCAAAGCAAAAGTATACCATTTTCTTCGATGAGATAAATTACATTGTCTCTAGGTGGAGATCAGTATCTCAATCACATGCTCATAATAGCTCTTAATTTTGTGCCTTTCATTCTATTTGTTTCCAATTGTGTCTTCTACCTCTATTCAGATAACCCCTACCTACCCTTCGAAATCCAGCTGAAACCCTCTCCCTCCTGCCCCTTCCACAGCCTCTCCTTATAAAGTGCATACAACACATTCCATAAGTGTAACCTATTTTTTTCTGGGTACCAGTTTCATTTCTCTACCTACATTTACAACTCCTGAGGAAAAAAACAAAATACAACATATTGTATTTCCCACTGCACTTAACCATGACCAATAAAGTTTGATTGGTTATTTGATAAAGTACATTTCTGTTTCAATGAAAAATATTACAAATAACTATTTGAGTAAATACATTTCAGTGCCACTTACTGGGACAAAGCTTTAACAGATTTATAGCAGAAATAGGTAGTACACATCCTGAAAAAATTCACATGGGCCAATTCAATGATTTGATGGGTTGAGAAAAAAAAAGAGTGAAAAATAAATAGAAAATAACTATAAGTAATGGCATACACATTAAGTTTGAAAATGTTACCTCTATAAAAGGCTGATTGCTTTTGGAAAAACTACTACTACTCTTTTCCATTCAGGAAAAATATAAAATGTTAATTCTTCCCACTCCGCATTTTCTAGGCAATAATACAAATCAAACAAGTAAAAGGGCTTCTTTGTAAGTAACTATATGACATCCAGATCTTCAATATTTTCAAAATTTAAGGTCTCACATAGAACCACATTTATGCACTCAGCATCATGAAAAAAACAGAAGTGAGATTCCTACATCTGTTAATTTTCAAAATAATAGGCCTTGGAGTATAATTGCAAAGAAATATTGAACCTTAGAAAATATTTGAAATAAATATTTGAAAGTTTTACAATAAATGGAATTCATAAAATATATATGAAGAAAAACTTGAACCAATGGTCTGCAGACATTGACCGTTCACATATTCGCAAACATTTCTTCTATAACAATCATGTGGCGGACTCAGCTAAACACTGAGGATGTAAAGTCAATATTGAGGCAGGATAGTAAGAAGCTAGGAAGATTCCTTGGCAAGAGGAATAGGGAAACTGAGACACATAATTCAACAGGCAGTTTGCAGCCATCTATTAAATCCTATCTTTCTTAACCCCTGAACCTGTCCCAAAGCCCCCAGTTCTCTGACTTCTTAGTGAGCCAAAGCAGCTCAGCCTAGTCTCATCTCCTTGCCTAGTCCCTCTCCTGTTACCAGTGGTCTGGTCAACAGAGCCAAATATCAACAGTACAACGATTGAAATCTCTTTTGAAAAGCAAATTTTTTAAACTTAAACTTCTTCTAATGCCACTTCAAAATAGACTTGCCAAGACCGTGGTATTTTGTGGAAGAGCCACACTCAAGGGGCCAAAGAGCCGCATGTGGCTCGCAAGCCACGGTTTGCCGACCACTACCCTAGGCCCTTCCTTGTTTCACTGTCCCCAGAGTTAATAAATGCCCTCTCAAATTCACCTGGATTCGTGCTGTGAAATTTTTCCCTGCACAAAGTTAAGAATCCACACCTACCGGCCTGCCCCTAGGCAGACACACTAAGGACCAGGTCCCCTTTCCAGTAACAATATGACCCAGATCCTACCCCTAAAGGATTTGTGATCCAAAAGGATGGTCAGATATGTACAAAATTACAATAAAGTTTGATGACTGCTCTAATACAGGAAGGTATGCAAATGGTACCATTAAAGCTCATAGGAAGAGAAACTTCCGTAGGAACCTAGAAATGTTTTACAGATGGGAGGCAATTGAGTTGGGGGAATGAACAGAAACACAGGAAAAGATAAGAAATAACTGATATTTCAGGCAGGGGAAAGTAAAAGGACTCAGATGACAAATAAGTCTCCAACTTCACTTCCAATTCTGCTCTAAGTCTTCCCATCTCAGTAAGTCACAATTATTTCAGTTGCTTGGGCCAAAAATAGCCTCTTTCATACAAATTTTCCAAGTTCTGTACTGCATCACACATAGACCCAGAATCCACCAACTGCCTTGTTTACCAGACATCCCTGTTCAAGCCGCTAAGTCTCCCTGCTCCCAATGCTGTCGTATTGTATTCCGTTCTCCATGTCCCAGCCCAGCAACTGGAGTGATTCTTTTAAAGTGTAGGATCACTGCACTTTTCACACCCTCCCGAGTCTTGGGACCTCACCCAGAACAGCACCTGGAATCCTGTCGTGAGTACTCCCCGTCCTCTGGCCTCTCGTCTTCTTGCTCCCGCATTCTCCCTGGGCTCACAGCACTCTAACCTTCTGCCTCTCACCTTTTCCTTGAAAACACCTAGAACATTCCCGATTCAGGATCCTCTTCAAGGTTTCCTCCTTGAAGATCTTAAGATAATACCTGTTTATCAGCTTTACTTTTTTGCCTCAGGGCTTATCAGCAAGGAATGTCCTGGCTTATCTCCTTCCATTGTCTCTACCACCTGTGTCACCTGTTTGCAAATGTAGAACAATGCCAGCCACATACTAACCACTCATATTTACTGAATGAATGCACTCAATGAATACTATCCACAAAAGATGAGATACTTAGGCATATAATTGAGACGGAAAAAAGTTCTTACCACCAAGGAAGAAAATGAATTTTTAAATCAGAATTACTTGTGTTGGATTTTTAAAAATAAATGATTCTATTTTTTTCTAAGATTTACATACTAAGCCAACTTGCATGTCTCAGTAATTGAGCGTCAATCTATGAGCCAAGAGGTCACAATTTGATTTCCAGTCAGGGCTCATGCCCAGGCAAGAGGCAGCTAATCATTGATGTTTCTTATCTCTCTCTCTCCCTCTCCCTTCCTCTCTGAAATCAACAAAAATATATTTTAAAAAATACATACTGGACTTATTAGCATGGGATATGCTAGGAACTCTTTCAAAGCACTGGGAACTTTAGTGCTTTGAAAGAGTTCCTAGGGAAGGCCAGAAGAGAAGCCCAGCTGCACAGGCAGGGAGGCAGAACATCAGGAACAACTTTGTCCACAGTGAACTTGGCTTTCAAAAGGATGGCAGTGTAGGAAGGTCTGCCAGGTATCTCCTCCTGTCACCATGGCCTTCCTACAGCCTGCTTTCATCATTCCAGGCACCTTCCCATCTCCAAGTAATGCTCATCCTAGTCTGTATCTGAAGGTCCTCCCCAACCTTCTGCCTTTGTAGGTCCAGACTGAGTCACAATTTCTTGGACTGTCTTCCCTGTCTATGGCACACTGCAATGAACTCCTCTGACTCACAGTTTTAATGTTCTGTGTATGTGGCCCTGTCTTGTTTCCTAAGGTTCTTTGAATCTGTGATGAAAAGCCATCTCTAATTACTAAAGATAACTCTACTTTATTAAAAAAAAATCAGAACAAAACACTAGTTGAAATATTATTTACAAAGAACTTCTGTTAAGAACATCTTTTAATGTTCCCTGGTATTATTTCACATAATAAAACATTTGTTACCTTGAGTTTTAAAAATTAGAAAGCATATTCGAATCAGACCAAGATCCTTCCACAATGAACTAGAAATCATGGGGAAGATGTAATGTGCAAGTAATTAAATAAAGAATACAAAGCAGAGTGGGTAATCCTGAAAATTCAGAGCAATGAGAGCAAGCTCAAACTAGCTCTGGGGGAGTGTGGAGGCAGGGATCAAGGTATATTTCAAAGAGAAGAAATGTATGACTCAGCTCTTGAAAGAAAAGTAGAATTTAGACAAGCAGAGCCCTGTAGGATCAATTATATGTTGGTTCCCAACTGTGATCCATTTGTATGAAAGTTAGGAACGTGTCTATCTAGTTAAAGTTTGCTGGCTACATAGCATAAACTAGTAAAAAGAATACCATATAGAGGCCTGAATTTGACCTGAGTCCTAAGTAGCTTTAGACTTTGTTAACTTATTGGACATTTTATTTACCAATGAAAATATTAAGATTGATCTACTTACATTTCTCCCAATGTTCTTGACTATACTTTGAAGCAATAACAAAATTAAATATCACCCAAAGTCAAAGATACACTGAAAATAATCAAGTTATAACCTTATCTAAGTGTAAAAAAGTAACTCATCAACACGCAATAACAATTATAATCTACTGCTTAAGAATACTTGTTTTTGTTAATATGTTAAAGTCACAGTAACTGCCATTAAAGTCCCTGTATTCTTTTAAACAAGAATGTTTGAGCTAGTTCTCTTACCCAAGGGATTTTCACATAAACTCTTCTTTCCCAGTGGCCTACTCTATCAGTTTCTTCTCCTCAGAGGCTCCTATTTTTAACAATAAACAATAGCAAATTTCACACAAGGGTGGGTAGAGAGGTTATACTGAAAAGCTACTGGAGACAGAAAATTTCTCTAGGTCAGAGCAAAAATTCATTAATCAAGCCTTAAAAATATTGGAACCATCTCCTAGTTCCAATACATTATCAAGTTCTGTGAATTCTTAACTCTAAAACATATCCACAGTAATTATTGCTTAAGTAATTCATTGCTTTATTAAAATTATCTCAGTATTACATTCAATTTTCATAATAAAAATTAAGGTACAATTTCACATTACACAATAATACACTAAAAATATCAAAACTTAATTTTAA